AAAAAACAGTTAACCAAGTCACATATATTAAATAATTTATAGACTGTAAACAATACTTTAAAATTTATTCTTTCACGAATGTGTAGTCAATGCAAATCATAAAGTGTAGATGTATTGAGATCCGATTTTGTTTTTTTACAATTTATAAGTCTGGCTGCTGCATTTTGAACATTGGATCTGTTTGAGTTTACGTATTAATCGCTGAGGTCATTTTTTTCCCAGGATGATGAATCCAGATGTTCATGGCATGAGTCACAGTGCGGCTTGTGGGTAAGAAAACAAAATATCATTGACCTTGTGATTATTTTTGACAACTATTGAGATGAACTAAATATCGCGTAGTGTAGTGTTTTAAAAAATATAACACTTGTTCCTCATCTTGCGTACTCTACAACAACAAAAGATTACTTTTTGACATGGATCTTTAGTTGAAAGAGCAGCATTACTCATTGATGTAAGACAACGCTGCCAGTAGAAGGTTTGAACAGTGGTTTTGTTCTTTGAAATCGGCTGTGTCTGCAGCTCACTTGTCATTTTCATACCTCGCTGCTGTTCTGACCACCCATTTTATAACTAACTACCTACATGTATTCATTAACACCAGTAAAGTATATATTAAAGTAACATTTACCATTCATCATTTAGTCATCAATGCAGCCAATAAAGTTCACCTTTATTATTATACTGGTAAAGAGTAATTCAAAATTGTTGTAAGGTACAGTACAGTTCTCGCGGAAGCTTTGGCTTCACTTCAGCGTCAGCATCGCATCATTATGGCATTGTTATGACTTCAGCATCACTTCAATGTCGCGACATAAAAAGTTGAGGCAGTCATCGCTTCGCTTCATTGTGGTCTCATTATGGCGACAATGTGGCATCAGCATCGCTTCATCAAACAAAGAAGTACAGAACTCATTTCGCTCAACCTCTCGCCCGCTTCAGCTTTTCAATCGCTCGCTTTTGCGACCACTTGTTGAATTTCCGTTTTATTTTCGACTGTGCAAAAATTCGGACTACTAACAATTTTCTGGTTTTCATAGATCACGGTTACTACATG